CGCCTCGGCGGTTGCGCACGCGGACGACCTCGAGGATGAGTGCAACCTGGACGGGGCGAGACATCAACAACAATAACAAACATAGGAATGGGGCAGGGGGATGAGGAGGGAACGCGGGGCTGGGGAGCAGAGTGCTTTGCTTTTGCTCTTTGCGGAGGAGCCTCTCGCTTTGCTTGCCTCTGCTCCCCGCACGAACTTGGCACCCGACGTGGATGGAGTCGCTGGCGAGATGCGAGGGGACTACGCTTGGACGAAACGCGCAGGGACAAACTCTTACGCCAACATGTTTTTCCTTCTTCTTCACCCCGCGCCGGGGGATTGTATTTGACCCCTCTTTTTGTTTTCCCGCCCGTGGTTTTTGGGTTTCTGTTGCTTTGCCTTCCCAGCCCACTTTGGCTCCCCGTGGGAGCGCCGCCCGCTCCGGCGCTCGATGGACGCACCGGCAAGCGGCGGCTCCGCTCTGCCGGTCGCGGTGTTGCCCAGCGGCGTTGGGCGCCACGGCCCGTCGCAGCGGTGGCAGTGCCGCAACGCCTCTGGTGTGGGGGTGCCTGCGCCCCGCCCAGTGCGGGGCTTTCCCGCCTGTGGCGAAATTCAATCCTTGCCGGCGTCGCGTGGTCGGGAAGATTGAGCAGAGAGAAAAAAGGGCATAACGGAGGTGCACGGCCGAGCAGCAACGTGGCACCACGCGGGAGCGATGCGACGGCGATGGTGACGTGCGATCCGTGCGAGCGGCCAACAACCACGGCGGAGACCTGCAGGGGTGTGGGGGAAGGTGCTGATGCCTTGCCACGAAACCGCCGCGAGCACAGGACAAGGGCTTCGACGTGCCTTGCGCGTTACAGACCTCGAGACCCGTGCCCTGTGCATCATATACTTTGGGCATGGAGGCGCCTGCATTAGTTCCCTTCAGTTGATGGACGCGCCACACGGGTGCCGTCCTGTTCTTCGGTCCTGCGTTGGTGCCGACTGCCAAAGTTTACCCCGAGTGGACGAACCGTGTAGTTGTTGAATTTTTTTTTTTTTTTGGGGGGGGGGTATGTCCTGTTCTTGTCTGTTGTTAGAGGAAAATTGGCAGAAGGGGTTCCTGTGCGGGGGTAAACGTGGAGTGAGGGAGCACCTGAATTGTCCCCGTCTTTTTGCTTTTTCGTGGGTGTTTTGCTTCGCGGGTGTCAGCGCAATGACGAGGGGGTTCGTCCACTGTGTCTGTCTGCTGCGGCCCCGCATTCAGGAAAAGGGTGACGTACTCATTTACGTGTGTGTGGGTGTGTGTGTGTGGGAAGGACCATTTCCGTAGCGGGGGTGACGCCGCTTCGGCTTCAATCGGCCGGGTTCGGTCGGTTCTTGCTGCTTGCCGGGCCCCGCGTGCGTGTCTGGGCGAGAGCGGTGCGCAGAGGTGGCGGTGCGCTGGCCGTCGCAGTGGCTTGCGGTCTCGCTCTCGCACTCCCCCTCCCGCGACCTCTCCGGCTGCCTCGTCCACCTTCTTCCCCGCCTCTTCTTCCCGCCTCCCGCAGACAAGGCATTTGCGACTGCCGCTATCCACGACAGACCAACACAGACACTTTCCCTCACGCCATGCGCCGTCCGCTCT